AACCCACCTAAACATTTTTGCCTCAATGCCACTCGCCTTAGATTTTGCAACACTTGCAATTTATCTGTATATGGGTATGTAACACTGCCATTTCAAGTAATCACCATTAAAAACTAGCTTTAAAACGTCTACGTTTCAACCGAACCAACCTCTTTACCTAAATACGTTAAGATTAGGTAACATTTTAATAATAAAAAAATGTTACTTAGCATGATTCGTTGAATAAAATTTTGTATTTTTTCCTATTGCTAGCAAATCACAAAGTTTGTGTGTCCATCATCTCCGAATTTATTTTAAACACTTTCTTATTAAATGCTGAAACTTGATTTATTTAATTCCCCTAATTGTGAAGTATGCAAAAAAAAGTGGAGGATGTGCAAAACACATATTAATGGAATGCGTCAAAAATGAAGAGGAAAGGAGACATGCTTTCTCCTTTCTTAAAATTAATAGGTTTGAGACTGGCATATTGCAAGGCATTCTAGACAAGCCCCCCTATCGGTGGATGTGTGATGTGGTTAGCAATATGGTAGATATTTTATTTTTATTCATCGATTATAAGAAACTGTTATGGTCAGGTTGCGATGAAGATGGTATGATCAGTTTGGTCCAAAAGTCACTTAAAACAAAAAAAAGCAGGAATCGTGTTTGCAGATGTTCCAGTAGTTTTAATTCTTGATACAGTTATTTGATACCAAAACACAAAACACAAACATATTTAAATATAAAGAAAACATTACTAGAAAAAAATTTAGACCTTATCAATAAGCATTCGTGGCTCAGTTGAGAAAGCACTCCTGCTACTCGCGGGCTGAGTTGGATTCCCATCCGAGGAAGGCATGGTTTTAAATAATTATGTTAAAAGTTTCATAAATCTACTCCTTTTTACCCGGCTGCGCAATGCAAGAGCGCGAAGCGCGACGCGCAGACAGGGTTACGTGTTTAACAGTCTATATATGTATGTTTGTTCCTTTGTGGCACACTAGAGACCAAACGCCTAGACCGATTTTGATGATTCATACATCAATCGATTCGTCTCAATCATGGGAGTGCTACTAAAGATATGATAGTAATCAAAATTCAATATGGGCAAAATTAGGCGCCATATTGTGACGAAGTAAAAAAAGAAGTTGACAAAATATGTTGAGTGGGGTATCACTGTCTAGATAATCAAAAATCATATTTAGGTTCCTAACACCATTTTTCATTTAATATGATTGTTCAGGATCTACAACGCATTAAAGTTGTATATTAACCACTTACGCTTTTAATTTCAATCTTACGTTTGTATGGATCTTTGTTACTCTTTCACCTAAAAAATACTGAATGGATTTTAATGAAACTTAACAGTGATATAGCTCATATATGATAATTACATATATATAATAATTTATGTAGTTATTGTGTGAATTGGCCAATATATAGCAATAATAAGTGTCACATAAGACGGAACAAAATGTCCCATCTGCGAGCCATTTTGGCCTGCACTGCAAAAACAATAAAAGTTACATGAATGTAATGTAGAGTGAAAATGTATCTCTTAAATAGTTCTAAAAAAAAGTCCGTGACACCATATATCTATTTTTAATGTGTAAGTCATTACCGCTAAAATAGTGAATCAAAACTAAAATATTATTTGATATCTATTTCCAAAATGCACATTTTGTATTAACAAATCATTTTTTATCAAAACAAATACTTTTATTGCTTTTGATATTTAAGGACGATAAACTTTGCTTTTTACACTATGCCATTTCGACAAATATTTAAAAAGTTACAACGATGACAAAGTGATAGCACGGTGTACTATGTAAAAGAAAAAAAAATGGGCTATTCGCATTATCTGATCCTATACGAAGCACTAACAGTAAAACTGTGATACAGTTCCTTCTTATTAAATGATGAAAAATATATTATCATAATAGGTATTTATGATTATTGAATTTTAATGAAAAACTCAGAATTTTGCTGTTTTTCATTTTTTTAACGATATTACTTAATGTTACAAAAAAGGTTTACTTAATATAATGACAAATAACCCATTTTCGCTAGTAAGTACATACTTATTGGAATCCCTGTATTTATTAATCAGCTCGCGATAATATTGGTTTTGTAATAATTCTGCAAAATTCAAAGTAAATAATGTAGATTTTTATAGGTAAATCACCCCTTTCATCACCCTACATCTATAAGTATTGCGATGTTGTAGCTAAGAACCAAGTTCCCATCTACTTCTATATGGGAATTCATTATATTTGATTTAGCTATTAGGGCATGGAAGCGCAACAAACAAACTCACTTTCACATCTATAATATTATATTATACTTACTAGTGATCCACCCGGGTATTGTACGGGTGAAATTTATTTATCGGGATAAAATATAGCCTATGTCACTCGGACAAAATGTATTTAAATACAGAAAAATGTAATAATAAATAATGTAGCTACCTTATGATGAATTAATATTTGAAACCGGTTCAGTAGTTTGACAGATTATTTGTTACAAACATACAAATCTTGCCTCTTTATAATATTAGTATAGATAGTTAGGATAAGATAAGTATTTAATTGATGAAAAAGATTTAAAAAAAAGTAAGTAATAGGTTTATTTGATTATATTTGTAAAAGTTACTTAGCATTTGTGCTTAACAGTGATACCTACGTAATTCGGTATTTTTTTAAACAAAAAAAAATTTGGAAAATAATTGCCATGATTGCCCTACTGGGAGTACTCTTCATTCGAGGTTTACACTTCCAATAAAAAAGGGTCGATCACAAAGTCTTTGACCTGTTATATGTGAACACTTTAAAAGAAAACTACAAAGAGAACTATAAATTGATAATAAATGAGATTGCTATGGTGCTCTATCTAACGTTATGAAAATTTTATTATGCGCCTTTAGTTTATTCAAATATTATAAACTTTGCTTTGGTGATTGCATAATTATTTAATTTAGTGATCTGAGGCAGTTGCCACCATTGTCCAAAACAACAAACGGGAATTACTGCTTTCTTCAACCTGCGACATAAACGTCATTGATTGGTATTGTATATAGGGTGATTAAAAACATTTGAAGTTAACTTCTGGCATCTACATATTGGGTTTCTGTGAATTATATAGGTATATCAAATTATGAGACTAGGGACTGACACTGCATTTGTGTATATCACAATCTTAGACGTCCGGCATTGACATGACAATGCAGCCACTGCCAATTTTAAATAGTCGACGAATAAAAGTAAATGAATTTTATATTTACTGCTAAACTATTAAAAAAAACATAAACAAAAGATGACTTTTTGAGTAAGTTCTAGTTTACTATAAAATTGACATACATTAGAGATATTTATGTAACGACTTGATTTAACTTCACACATTTTTGCAAAAATTGAGGCCCATCTGTAGCCTTGACTCCGCTGGTAAAGTCTCTATATGTCTTAATAAATCAATCTTTTAGACCGACGCAAGGTACTTAATAATTCCCGCGATATTAATTCCCTTACTGAAGTAACAAGACTACGGTATATACCGTCTTAAAATACTAACTAACTAAAAAGTGTGAAATAAAAAAGGTAAATTTAAAAAATCAAAAAACCCGACTGCTTAATTATACTTCAAATAAAAACTGAAAAGAAAAAAACAAGTCCAGTAGTCTATAATTCTGTTAATAAGGAACAAAGCTACTTTAGCAGTCGGGACCCACTGTTGAAAAATATTATGTATTCTTGAATATCTAATGGGTCCCGACTGTTAAAGTAGCTTTGTCCCTTATTAACAGAATTATAGACTACTGGACTTGTTTTTTCTTTTCAGTTTTTATTTGAAGTATAATTAAGCAGTGGGGTTTTTTGATTTTTTAAATTTACCTTTTTTATGTTTACTAATAAGAACTGTGTCAAATGGTGATACTATCTCTTATCTATTAGACAAGTCCGTCCGTCCGTCCGTCTGTGGTGCTGTTTCAGCGGCCAAACCGTAAGAGATAGATAAAGAGAATATTTAAGTTATAAGTTAAGAATAGTCTGATAAGACTACAAACCGGATTTGAGTAACGTAGCACTTCCGGTTTTCGAGAAATCACGAATTTCAAACGAAACCACACAAAATCTCCGAAGTTCTCAATTAATTAAATACATTTTTTTTTAATTGGTGAACATTTGGTTCACTGGTTTGCTAGTTGAAACACTAATAAGATATGATTTTTCAAAACTCAAAAAAAAACCTAATAAAACAAATGCCAATGCACAGATTACCGCTGATTTGTATCCAGCGTCATTAAAGTCGTGATATTTATGTAGACGTTTTGATAATTCCGTATGCAGGAGTTGTAGTCCACCTTGAGTAATTACAGATAATAATATGATAGTCATTATCGCTTTAATAATATGTAAATTTGAGGCATTAAGAACACGTAAGTAAATACATTCACAGCTCACTTCTGTTTATATCTCGTGATCTACTGTGGAAGCAAATATCTTCCTTGATAAACTGGATGCAGAAAATTTATTGTTTTTGTTTCTGTTATTTAAAAATTATGTATTTATGGATTGGGAGGCCTGTTACGTTAACAATATCAATTGGAGTACAAAACTATAGAAATACGTTTCCAATGTTCTTTGTATTCGGTGTGTGTGTATGTAACTATGTCATCATCCTCTGCCCATTAATGTCCCTACTGCTGGGGCACAGGCCCTCCCTATGGATGGGATAGGGATATTGATTGGGCCGTAACTTACCACGCAGGCACAGTGCGGATTGCTAGATGCTAATGACTACAGATGCAGCCGGGACCAACGGCTTCACGTGCCTTCCGAAGCGTGGAAGAGCTTAAGATACTCGTAATACGTTGTTGGTCTTCCATCCAAACACCGATATAGAAAATCTTACTTATGTAACTCCCACGATCGCGCTAACCACCTGCGTCATCGAGCTCCTCGGGAGCAGTGCTTAGGAACTGTGTAACTGTAATTAATAGTACTTATTCCTCCTTGTCGCAGTTTCCCCGATTCGCGCGACGAACGGAGGCAGCGTACACGCGTCGCCTGCGCGAGACATCGCCCGCGACACACCGGACTACCAGTACGGACGGTTCGACGCCAGCGCACTGCACATCGCACACGCGCTCAAACAGACCGAGCTGCAGAAGGCCTACCACAGGCCGCGGGAGAAGCCCATAGACTGCTACCTGGTGAGTACTAGCGTAGCATCTTCGTCATACAATCATAAGACATTTTTTACCTCCCAGGCAGAGGAGCTGGTGTGAAATCCTCATGGATTCCCTACAGCCGGCTGCAGGGTTATGTTAGACATTCACTGACTAAAACACACCCGTGGGGGGATGCCTATGGCCATGGGGGCCTTACAGGCTTCGTCTGATGCGATCATTCCCCGAGAAGGGGATGATGCCGACCATACGACGTTCGCTACTGAGCTTATATATAAACATAGATAGGCTTCTCCTAAAAATCGCCACAGAATGGATTCACCAAAACATTAATCAGAAAACCCCAACTGAAAACGTGACTTCTTAGCATAATCCTACTGATGAGTCAAATATTTGAAGAAAGGTTATTTTATTTAATTCATAGGCACAACAGGTCATTCTATAGAATCTTCTTGAGGATAAAAAGAATCAAATGCAAATTTAAAGCCCCCTATCACTACAGCAGGATGTAATATTTCCCAATATAGAAAGAAGAAAGAAAGACAAATAATTTTATTTGAGACAAAACAACAGCATAAGAATATATATACACTATAAAAAACATACGTCTTCGTAATTGTATAATTCATAACAAAAACACATCGACAGAGAAAATTCACCTCGTTAATTTCGCCACGCTCCACAAATCTAATTATGGTATTTCGTAACAGCTGTTTTCAGACCATGATAAATTATTGTTACATTTAGTTTCTTTATAGCAACACTTGGGCAAGTGGACAAATTATGGTTTGAACCGTAAATTTTCAAAAGAAACAAACCACAAGTTTCATAGACAAGGGCGAAGTATATTTCGACACTTTGCCTTGTAAAGCTAGTAACTCCAAAATAAAACAATTTGCACGTGTTCATTTTCAGGCAATTTCTGTACCATATCTATAACATAGGTGATAACTCTAACATCTCAAATATTGAAGTTTCTACGTGCATGTTTACGTCTGAATTATATTATCTCAAGTTATGCTAATTGCTCGCTCTTTTCTTTCCCTAAAGCCTTTTCTTGTTCGTACGGAATACGCAATACGGAAAATATATAAATTATATTGTTTGGGCTGTTTAGGTATGAAACCATATAATAATACTGCCGTTATAATCGGGGACATTAATAATGAAATTCTCACCAAAGTTAGAATAGAATAAATTTGCAACAAAACTAGATAAAAATTATACAACATAACCATTGCAATTGGCAGAACATAAAAGAACTCAAAACCTATTTACATTAATAAAGAAAGTAATATGAATTCATTTTCAACCATTAATTACTATCATAATTCATACATTTCTTCATTATTCGAGTAAACCATCGCAGGATATTATCGCAACAAACATAAGTATTGTATTTAACATGCTAATTACTATGTTACCAGTACTAGAAGCACAGCATATTGTAATTATCAACAGCCTCTCGTCCGCCCTCAGTACAAAATAGTGCAATATCTGCAGATCCATCTCACATTCCTGTCCTTTGGAGTATAACAAATCGCGTGTGCTCGGAGAATGCGCAGGAGTGCGTGGCACAAGCGATGCGCGACTGGCGAAATCTGAACATATTATTCATCAGTTTGTTGTTTATATATTGCGCATCAGACTACAATAGGAGATGTTTTTACATAAAAAATAATAAATTGAAAGTAGGCTACAAAGAGTAGCATTTATGGTAAGGCAACTCGGATTTAGTGTTTAACTATGCACAATTCATGATGTAAATCCTAAAATGCAACAGAGAGAATAACACAGAAAGTATTCCTTAAATTTTGTTGAAGTTTGTAAACTGACATGAACATGATAGCAAACTATGGTCTGTTATTTTATTGTCAATATTGTTACTTCGATATTTCCAACTAATGCCCAATGTTTTATCATTTGCCTGAGAAATTTACGGTTCATACCATAATTTGTCCATTTGCCCAAGTGCTGCTATAAAGAAACTAGATGTAACAATAAATCATCATGTTTGAAACAGCTGTCACTAAACTAAGGCCCGTATTACAGAATAACAACTAAGTGTTGATCTTTACTTGAGTACAGTTAGAAAGGGATGTCGCTATGTGCTATAATATATAGCGACATCTCTTTCTATCTATGCTCAAGACTAGATCAATCACTGAGAATCTTTCTATAATACGGCCTTAACTCATCTAAGTAATACAATATTTAGGTAGCTGTCCAATGCTATCACCTGTTTAATAATCGGTTGATCGAAAAAAAAAAACAAAAATTGCAGAAAACTGTATAAGTAATATCAAAACGTTTACGTTGGATTAAGGCATGTAAAGTGACGATTTGTTACATGAGAAAATCTCAAGCAGGTTTAATTAATTACTCATAATCAGTAGACAGTAAAATGAATACGTTTAATACCGCATTTTTCTTACATGGAAATAGTTAACGGTACAAAATGTGGTAATTTTTTTGACGCTACTCGCATAGATGTTGTACTGGTGTGATATATGTGAAAAGTTTTCGGCTGGTTTAATGAGATATATTAGATATTTTTACGAAGAAAACACAGATCTTATATACAAAATTTTTGCTCAAGTGAAAGTTGTTTACACACGCTTGACTTGGGGGGTAAGCTGGCGAATACGTTACGCGTTACGAAAAGTGTGTTCGGGTGAGGCGAACGGGAGTTGAGTGGGGGAAATAAAAGAAAAAGCAGTGCGCGCATATATATATATGTCTTCAGTCATGTGATCATGAGCACACTCGTTTTTTTTTTAGAAAACAGCTATGCATGTATTGATTTATATAAAAGCACACGTGAAAATGAGACCAAAACATTGAATAAGGAAGTTTGTGATTTTTATTTTTGAATGGAATATAACTATAAGATACTGTCAAATTCAATGTTAATGACAATACTTTGTTTGACCTATTTTGATAACCATCAATAGAGACGGGCCTACTATACGGTCTTTTACTATGTTTTCATAGAATACAACTATTAGAAACTGTCAAATTCAAATTTAATGTCAATACTTTGTTTGACCTATTTTGGTAACTATCAGTAGAGACGGGCCTACAATATATATGGTCTTTTACCATGTTTTCAAATTGACTTTTATAGACTTTAACAAAAAAGTTATTATGCCAGTTTTACCTACCTATACCAGTTGATAAAAAATAGACACGTTTTTGTTACGGGCATTTCAAATTCAAATCGCGTGCAGAGTCTAATTGCACCACAGACAAAAATAACTTTGTAGAATCGGGAGCCATCGTTAACCGGCGAGAAATCTGGCGTGACCGGCTGATTACAGGACGATCCGGCGATAGATAATGCCGCATTCTTCTGCGGAATCGCGATGCCGTGTCTATGGTTATGGTCAGAAATGTAACTCTGTGCACTTTGATGATGGCATGCATAATCGTAAAGTTTGCACTGGTTAAATGTGAAGCTGCTGTTCATCTGAACTATTCCTGTGGGTATAGTTATAACTTTGATTATATACCCGCCTAGGTGAGCAATCTAAATGAACCACGCAAAGAAAACGGCTCATGTTACGCGCAATGTGTGCGTGACTCATATGTAAGGATTGTTTTAACGCTGTCAATGTGTGCGTGTAGCGACGAGAGTATCTACCATATATAGTTGATATTCTTTTCAGCGCTTCGGTGCAGATCTAATGACTTCTAAAGAACATCAAAAGATTTGGTTGTTAGGAAAATTTATTCTTAGTTCCTCTTCCAGTTTAGGTTTCCAGTAGATTATGAAAAATGCTAAAAACCTGTGACTGGACACAATTTGAAAGATAATTATATAGGTACGCCACCATCCATTTATAACATAATATTTAAAATATATTGTGGCAAAGATAAACAATTTCATAATTATAACTCTTGTAACTTCAAATGCTTTAAAAAGAAACTCAAATGGCAAAATAACTGATATTAATAGAACTTATACCAATGCTTAGTTTACAGATTAAAAAAAATGATTATTTACTGTAAAATCATCTTGATATGTATGTAAATTTAACAACTTCCAAGCATGTTTGAAATATGAATAGACAAGGCGCTCGTAAATTTGCATAAAAAGTTAGATTCATCATAAAACCCCACATATTTGTTACATAATACAGTTTTGAATCTACATTCATTATTGAAGTTTATATGTTTACATAATATCCATATAGTTATTAGATACTAGTGGTGGCGACTTTGCCTGCGTGGAAATATCAGTTTCCCAAACAAACTTCGAACAACCATTTCACCATTTCATTTCACAATAACCCCGATGAGACGAGAAGACAAATTACATTTACCTTAATCAAATTCAGCAATTTTTGAAAAAAGTGCATATATGCCATACGAATATACAATAATTTACCGCCTTATCTGCGGTCATTTCCTGAATATAAGTTTTAAGTTCCCTGAAGCAATGGTTAATATGTAATGCATTTTATATCTTCAGGAATATTTTAATAATAATTTTTAAAAATTACTATTGCATGCCCGATTATGGTAACTAGTTGTTTCAATTGTGTGCACGCACATCTAGAAGTATCACTAAATGTAACCATTTTTGCAATAAATAAGTATTCTATTCTATTATACCCTTTTTGGGGGGTGAGCTTTGAAAAATCCTTTCTTAGCACATCCACATCATGATACAGTGATTTGAGATGTGCGTTGATAGATCACTGTGTCAGTAACAGTTGTCTTTTATATATACAAAAGACTATGACAAAGAGTCAAAGGTGAGAGTGACAACATGAGATTATTGCTTCTGCCACTCAGTGCTTCCTGTAGGACTGCTCAAGTCTAGGCTAGTTAATAATGAATTTGTAGTTCTTTGGAATATTTCTAACAAAGTAATGATAGGCGTAACGTTAAAAGCTAATAGTGTGGTCCCAGCACCGCTATTCTCCTTAAGAAAATATCGAACATTACAAAGATGTGGTATTTCGAAAATTCACAAACATGCGCACTCACGTACATGCCCGTCGCGTCTTATGACCAAA